TGCTTCATTGATATTCGGAGCGATCATGCCGGTAAGATATGATTCTGAATGATTGAGTAGTTTTGAAACTGATTGTCATTGATAGGCATTTGCGTTGGTGTTCGCCAATGTATTTGGCGCGTTGGCAGAAACTGATCAGCAGAAACAGGAAGATGAAATTCGTACGTACACTTATACAATTTTTTTGATTGGCCTCGGCGGTGCTATATTTCAAATGATTTCATCGACTGCATTAGCCAAAGCAGGAGAGGAGTTAACCGCTCGTATGCGAGCAATTTCATTTCGAACTATGTTAAAACAAGAAATTGGCTGGTTCGATTTAGACGAGAATAACTTGGGTGCATTAGTCACGCGACTATCATCAGATGCTGCATCGCTCAAAGGTCTAACAGGACAGACTTTTGGTGCGATATTGAACGCAATCGGTGCTTTAGCATTCGCTCTGGTGGTTAGTTTTACGGCCGGATGGAAATTGACATTGGTTTTGTTAAGTTTATCTCCGTTGATGGTTTTTACTGGTATGGTTCGCGAAAATCAAAGTGCAACGAAGAAAGCCGCCGCCAAGAAAGGCTCGGCAACCACAGACTCCGAAGAGGGTGGCAAAGTATGTTTTCAGTTGTCTTTTATAATGAGTAAACGCAATTGTGTTTAGTATGCAACCCAAGCAATTGAAAATATTCGAACTGTTGTATCACTTCATCAAGAACAATATTTCATTCGTTTATATAAAGAAGCATTTGATAAAGAATTTCGTCATGAAATGATTCAGTTACAATACGTTTCACTTTCAAACTCATTGGCAAATTCGTTGACATACTTTCGTACGTGTGTCTTTATATTTGTATTTCCTGATGATATTCTTGTCTTCTAGTCAATGCATTAGCGTTTGGTTATGGTACTGATCTTGTCAAAGCTAAGGAAATGGACTTTCAAAATGTCTTCAAGTGAGTGGAGTTGAGTTTAAGCGATATTTTATGAAGTTAATTCGTTTGTTAATAGAGTATTCAATGTGATTATGTTTGCTTCGATGTCCATGGGTCGAAGTGCATCGATGATTCCGAATTATTCGAAGGGGAAAGAAAGTGCTCAACGTATATTAGATTTGAATGATCGAATATCTCTCATTGATCCTGATGATACATCGGGAATAAAACTCGTAAGAGAAAAGTTTATCTTTCTATCCCATCAAAGCAGTTTTGTTTAGTCAAAAGTCGAAGGCAATATTGAATTTCGAGATATTCGCTTTCGTTATCCCGCTCGACCAAAACTTCCTATTCTTCGTCGTCTGAAATTGAAATGTCCATCTGGTGTCACGACAGCTTTAGTCGGTCCATCGGGCAGTGGAAAATCAACAACAGTGGCTTTAATATTACGTTTCTACGATCCATTAACTGGTCAAGTCCTCTTAGACGGACATGATGTTAAAACTTTGAATATTCAATGGTTACGATCATTGATTGGTCTCGTTCAACAAGAACCCGTTTTGTTCAATTTATCAATTCGAGAAAACATTGCTTACGGTAATAATGACAAATCAGTAACGCAAGAAGAAATAGAAGCAGCGGCTACAAAAGCAAATATACATAGTTTAATCACTTCTTTACCTGAAGTAATTCGTGATTGTTAGTTCGTGTCTCATTTCTATTTCGACTTTATTTCCAGGGCTACAATACGTCATGCGGTGCGAAAGGTGGACAATTATCTGGCGGACAGAAACAACGAAGTAAGGAGCAAAACGAATGAATTTTACCATAAAACTTATTCTTCTTTCATTGAAGTTGCTATTGCTCGAGCATTGGTTCGTGCACCGAAAATTCTTCTACTTGATGAAGCAACATCAGCCTTAGATAATAAAAGCGAAAAAGTTGTACAAGAAGCGTTGGATCAAGCGAAAGAAGGTCGAACGTGTTTGACCATAGCCCATCGTCTGACCACAATTCAAAATTCCGAACAAATCTGTGTAGTGGATCGAGGAGTTGTCAGAGAAAGTGGAAATCATCAGCAACTAATTCAACAACAAGGGATCTATTACAAATTAAATATGGCTCAACAACGTAACGATGAATCTCATTAGTTTACTTTTGTAAATATCTTTCTTGTTTTTATGAAATTTTATTTTGTTAATAAACTTCGTGGAGAAAAATAACGTTGACATAGGTAAAGAAGTACCGTGCCTGTGATTAAGCCAATTCCAAGTTTAGCTTCAGTAGACCAACTGCGTGGACGTTCTTTTGTTTTTTTGTAGCAATCTAGAAAGAGTTTATACGTTCCTGATTTCAATGCATCGTAACCTCCATGTTCGATAACCATTCCGTGTGCAACAATCAGACGATCGAAATTGCGATAGCGTGTCAGCATTTCATCAAAGTCCTGCTTATTTCCTTCGAGATCATTTTTGAAAAAGTATCGAAATGGTTTAGTAACACAAGCACGTCGGTAACCGTCGGCTAACCATAGATAAGATCGAAAGAGAAAACCTTGCGCACGGATTCGCTGTTCAGATGATTCTTCATAATAATTGAAAGCTAAATCAGTAACAATCAACGTTGATGTTGGTCGGTGGTAAAACATCACTTCGTTAATATGCTTTACATGATAAAAACAGTAATATTCTATATCCTGAACTGGCCAATCGAAGGAGAGAGTTGTAGTACAATGAGGATTGTATTCCAAACCGTCGTTTGTAAAATAAGCATGAATATATTTTTGAAATTTTTCATTGGACTTCATTCCACATGTGGCAATCAGATAAGCTTGAGGATATTGTGCGAGAAATGTTAGTGCCCAAAAAGTATGATGTTCATTCGGAATAATTATGTACTGAACTTGCCCTGTGGCGAAGAGAAGAAAGATATCTATGCATTAAAAGGATGGTTTTTTACTGACCGATTTCTGCTAATAAGGTCTGTAGCAGATCAGTCGGTGGAAAGGGTGATATAACCATCAATTGATTGGATTTTGATAGACGAATAATTGTCATACGAGTAGGGAGACGGAAGAGACCGTATAGCACTGTAACTGAACCTTCGTATGTCCATAGATTTGTCTCGTGTTGAATCAAAGCGGTTGCAGTAGTTAGAAATGAATCAACCATTTTTGACTATCGAACTATTGACAACCCAGACATGAGATCATTCATTCCGAATGGATTCTCCAACAATTATATCTCTGTCAATCATAGAATCGCGTGACAGATGTCGCAGACAAGCAAGAAACTACAGGAATGCGTATAGATTATTGCTGTACATCATATTTCAAAATCGAGCAACTAACTTTTGGATACATTTCACCTTCTTCTTGATGCACTGACAAAAGCCCTCATAATTTTCCCAGCACGTCGAATATGAACGCTGAAAATTAACGCATTAACCGGCCATTAATGGAGTTTATTCGAATGTAAATTTTATCCCACACGCGCGGTAAGTAGAAACGTATAATTAAAAATTCACATAAAAAAAGACACGTCACTTGCAGACTTGCATTTAATTTTTGAAGAATGACAAAGGAAATGCACACTTCATAATCATCTTCTTCATTTTTCAGACTTAAAACAAACGATGTCAGGCGTTGTGAACGAGACCTCCGATTATGACGATGGTAGTGGTAGTTATCCTGTGCTCGAAACATCATTCTCGAAAAAATTCAAATTCAGTTTTCTACTCGCTTGCTTAATTCCATCGACTATTTGCAGCTTAACCTTGTTCTACTATTTCATACGACTATCTGAATTGCATAGAAAACGACATAATTATGCGTAAGGATATGCATTTAATTGAATCTATTGACTGTACGTACTTTTCTCTTTAGAATAATATGTTTATTAGTTTGCAATTTTCTTATCGCAACAACTGAACTACCTGTCACTCTAACCTATGTTCACTTCGATCAGTTAGTTCCTCCATCTTCCTCACTTTGTTTCTACTGGATCTTTATGAACTACCTTCTTTTCCCAACGAGTGGTTGGATTATGGCTATCGCCTCACTCCAACGCTACTTTTTCATCTTTCACAAACAGTTCATCAATACTCATCTCAAACACTATCTACCCATCGCTCTACCACCGATCCTTCTCTCCATCTGGTACGCCGTGCTCATCTTCTTCTATCCATGTCAACAGTTCTTTGATTACACACAGTTGTGGTGCATTGGTGCTTGCTATGTATTTGAGGGAACGATTGGGACGATTGATTGGATACTCAGTTCGTTGGTTCCTGTAATACTGACGATCGTGTTTAACATTGTTCTTTGTGTGCGCGTCGTCTATCAAAAATATAAAATGCATCGTGGTCGAACATGGCGAACCACACGAAAGCTTGCACTTCAAATATTTATGATTTCGTTTCTCTTTCTCAGTATTTATCTACCATTGACACTCTTTGGTCTGATCCGTCTTTGGTTCGATCCCATGTTTTTACTTGTTTTAACAATGGTCTATTTTGCATACTTTGTGTATCTTGTTCCACTCCTAATGCCATTTATATGTTTAATTAGCATGCCTGAAGTCACAGCAAAGATCAAACGCACATTACATCCTGGTACTCGAATTGAACCAACACTTCTTCAACAACTCCCCTTGACTATGATTACAAGACGGCACATACAAGTTCAAAACGCCAAAATTTAATTTTGTCCTAGTACAAATATATATTTTTAGATCATTAATTATTTGTTGTTTGCTACGCTTCGGATTTTAATGAGCACGCTGTAGTTGACATATTCATAATTGAAAGGAATTACGCAAGCAGTAGGACAAGGAAATCTGTCGAAGCTATTTGATGATTGCTAAAGAATATTTTTCATTTTGTTGTTTTAATGTTCAAGAAATCCTCTATTGTTACTGAGGATCAAGGAGAACTCTCGTTAAGAGAAAAAATTCTTGTTTTGAAAGTTATTGAAGTGGAAAATTATAACATCAAAATATTTCTCAATAGAGCATCCTGATTTAATGATAACTGTCAGGCGTAATCAGCCCTTGCCATCTTTCGTAACTAGTACCGAGCATGTCATATGATGATTCCAATGAAACGTTGCATTGCAAAGATGACAGTTGTTTATCTTTGAAAATTTTGTTCTCGAAAAAGATTCAATTCAGCATTTTAATCTCCGCTTTGCTTTTATCTGTTATTTACGTCTTGACTCTGTTCTACTACTTTATTCAATTTGACGAGTTACAGAAAAAGCCTCAACATCACGCGTAAGCACCTGCATTCATCGATTCTATAACCAGGCACACTATGTTTTTTGCAGCATCATATGTTCATTACTTTGCAATTTTCTCATCCTAGCAACTGAATTACCTGATACTCTCACCTATGTTCACTTTGAACAGTTCATCAATACTCATCTCAAACACTATCTACCCATCGCTCTACCACCGATCCTTCTCTCCATCTGGTACACCGTGCTCATCTTCTTCTATCCATGTCAACAGTTCTTTGATTACACACAGTTGTGGTGCATTGGTGCTTGCTATGTATTTGAAGGAACGATCGGAACGATGGGTAGATAGTGTTTGAGATGAGTATTGNCTTGGAACACCCCTTCGACTTATGGGTGGACTGGAGATGACCTTGTTTATCTCAATGCCAATCCTATTCAAGGCTATGATGGATATCGAAGCAATCTAGAACTAGGTGATACCTATTTACTAACAGTGGATTGCGATCATAAAGTGATTCGTTTAACGAATGAACGTACTAACGAAGCTCATGTCTTGGATGTTGATCCGACGAAATGTCCTTTACCATGGCAATTAAATGTTCGGTTTCTTGATCACGTTCAACCATAAAAAAAGAGTTTATTTTTCCAGTGATTTTATTGTAACAAAATCTTCTCGAATATGTAACTACAGAATTTGCTTTTATTGGAATCATTTTGATTAATTATTTATTGTATTCCCGAATATACTGTTTCTTTTCAAAATACCGCAAGAGAAATAAATATAAAAAAAAACATTTCTCTTTATCTTTGCATGCGCGAGATGTTTTATCTCTTGACTTTGTGGTATGCGTCTTTTACTTTTCCTTCGTCAAACTTTACGTTTCAGGACGCTCTCTATACAATGAAAGTATATACTTCGTTCGTATATCCGAATAAATTTGGCAGAGAAATAGTTGAAGTGTATAGTGTTCACATCATATATCGTAATAATCCGCTGACGATTGTCAAAATATTGCTTCAAATTGAAATGAATGTCACGTCATATATGGCATGTTAACAAAAATGATTATTAGTTATTTGAATCACACGTGAAGAATATTGATAACAGAAGTGAATAATGAATTCTCTTGCACGAGAACGTTTGAATCAACACTATTGCTTGAACAAACGTGATTGCTTAGAACTTGTTTACAATGCGGGCATTCCATTGATGATTGGTGTGGTGAGTCTTTGGATAGCTATTAATCAACAAAAACTTGATAAATCTAATCATGCACAAGATATTCAATTATCCAATGCTGAGCGCACGCAGGATAGAGTCATTGCACGATTACAGCGTGACGAAGATCGCGAAACGGCTCGGTTACAACGTGAGGAAGACAAAACGATGACACGATTGCAACGAGAGGAAGATCAACGAACAGCTCGTCTTCAACGTGAAGAAGATCGCGAAGCTGCTCGACTGCAGCGTCTCGAAGACAAGGAAACAGTTCGATTACAGCGTGAACTTGATTTGAAAATCACCATTGACAAACGGATACAAGATTATGAACTTGCAGAATTGCAAAGAAACATGTCTGAACAACAACGTGCACAAGAATTAGAAATTGCACATCAAAATCGAATTAATGATCTCCTGTTAGAAGACGGTCGTCAAAAGGAAAATGTACTTCTAGAATATCAAGATGATCTGGCGACATTGTTGTTAGAATATGGATCGTTATTCAAAGATCCGAAGAGTAAATGGTGGTTTATACTTCAGATGAAGACTGCTGCAGCACTACGACAGCTTGATCCTCAACGCCGAACTGTTCTTGTGAATACACTTTTCGATGCAGGAATTCTTGATTTAGAACGAGATCGTAGTCAATCATTACTTTATAGGACAAACTTGAGCGGAGTGGAATTCGGCTATTTAGTCGGTAAAATCGACCTTAATCTCTGTACTAAATATGATTATCTGAATGCAGCAGGGGCCGATCTTCGATATGCTTCGTTTCAAGGAGTGTGTCTGTACGATTCGCCCATATTTCAGTTTTCAAATCTGGATTATACTGATTGGTCTAACAGTATTATCACAAATGCTTACTTTCAAAATGATATCTCTATGAATGCGGCCAGATTCTTCCGAACACAATTAACTGCAGTTCACTTTGATAAGACCGTGTTAATGGATGGAGTATCCTTTCAATACAACGACATATGTACTCATTGTCAATTCGTTAAAACAGTTCTTCTGAATTCTCGAATGGATCACTCGAACTTTTTAGACTCAAAGTTCGTGCAACTATCAATGGTTGGCAGTAATTTAAGTCACGGGTCATTCGTTCAGTCAACGTTTCAAAGTGTCACATTCGATGGCGTCGATTTCTCGGGTGCTCATCTGAACCGATGTACGTTCTGTGCTGTATCAATGTTTTATTGTTCTCTTTCCGGAACAATATTTGATAGGACGAGATTGTCGAACGTGAACATGACTGGATGCACTGGATTAACTTCTCAACAAATTTCCGGAATATCTCATTTCTATCAAACAACTTTACCCAATGGAACATTTATCAAAGGACAACAGTTTTCTTGTTGAATGAAGTTTTGACATTCTATTTACAAATAAACTAGACGACAGATTTAACTAATAAAACTTGCACTTGAAACAGCGAGACATGTTGAGTATCGCATATAGGAGACTCGTGTGAAATCAATATGGAACAACCGATTGATACGAATGTTCAAGCAAGTACAGAACGAGGAGATCGTGAAAGCAGCAATCGTTTGAAAACAGAAGATTATTTGAAAGTTATTTCAAATTTAACCATTCCGCTAATCATTGGCGTTTTTACAATTATTGTTTCTATTCAACAGCAAAATGTTGCTCAAAGCCACCGTCAGAAGGATGTTTTAGTGCGAGCGGAACGACGTGTCAACGACACAGAGGAAGCTCAAATACAGCGTGAACAAGATCGTGAAATAGCACGGTTGTTACGTGAGGATGACAAAAATTTCTCTCGTATCCAACGTGAAGAAGATCAAAATTTGTCGCGGATTCGTCGCAACGAAGATCGAGAACTGACACGTCTTCAACTAGAAGATGATAAACAAACGGCTTATTTACAACGTGAATTAGATCTTCAAATCGCTACAAATAAACTAAAACAAGAGTATGAATTAGCCGAAAAGCAACGTAGTCTTTATCGAGCTCAACGCGCTCATGAAATCGAAATCGCGCAACAAAATTATTTGAGCAATTTGAAACTAGAAGATGAACGGTGGAAAGGAACGATATTAGTCAAATACCAACGGGACTTAGCCAAACAATTACTTTTCGTTGATACGAATGGTAATATTTCGCATTTCATACATATGGTCATCTTGCAAATGCGAACAAGATCAGCATTGCGACTTCTCGATCCGAAACGTCGAACCATCGTCGTTCATACTCTCCATCAAGGTGGACTGCTTGATGTGCCTTGGATAANAGCAGCTATTTTGTTGAATCTGAATTTCACGGAGTTAATCTTGATGGAGTCGATTTCGGTTACACCAACTTTCAACGATGCCTATTTTATCAGGTGTCAATGCGTAACTGTTCAATGCTTGGCATGCAGTTGCAAAACTCCTCCCTGTCGCACGTGGATTTGACTGGTTGTATCGATTTTGATCCGGAACAAATACACTCTTGGGTGAAAATCGATCAAGTTACCTTACCCAACGGAACAACACTACATTCATGTGTCTGAGTGTGAAGGATGTTACGAGAAAGTGTCGAAAAGAGAATAGTAGTGATCAAATTTCGTACATTTTGAAGTGCACACTCTTTCGAATGCTTGTTTTATTGTATTCTTATCAAAAGTGCAGAACACACTGGCGAATAAAGAAAGTAATAGTGTTTTGATCGTCCCTGGATCTCCGTGTTCTAACACAGACAATCTTCAGAACTCTCCCACATTTCGATGGAAAGTAATTCATGGAATTCATTCTATGCTGGGTGGATTATTTCTAATCGGTGCATCATGTATGTACTTTGCTAAAGTTATGCAACACTTTTCATTGGCTTTAACGGTTGGCGGATGGCTTTTTACTATCGGCTCATCCTTTCTTCTCCTTGCTGATCTTCAGCAATGGTGGTACGATCGAAAGGTTTCCGATTCTATGAAACCACGCACAGTGGATCGCTTAACTGTTGCTCATTCGTTTATTACATCATGTGGATCAGCCTGTTACGTAACTGGGTCAGTATTGTTAATTCCTTATTTTGAAAAACACACACATATAGGTAACCGGTTAATCATGATTGGCTCTGTTGTTATATTTCTGTCTGCATGTTGGAAAATCTGCCACAATGGTCGTCGTAACCACACGAATCCATACGGATATAGTTTTCATTGTACAAATCTCATTAACAATCTTTCATCATTCTGCTTTAACATCTGTAATGGACTTGGCGGTGTGTTTTATTTCCTTGGTGTGTACTTTGCTCCATCTGAATACAGTGCTAACGAATTTCAAACAAATATCTCTGCAATCTTTTGTGTTACCGGTGGTACTTTCTTTTTTCTTGCAAGTCTTTTTCTTCAATATCAATATTATTCTACGCAATTATAGATGTCAGTCGACATGCATCATACTTCTTTCTTTTCTACATCATAACATTAAATATGTGCAACCGTCATCGAGAATGAGAGAGAGAAAAAAAACATTTACTTTCCGCCGTATAACTTTCGTAATACTGTGTTATTGCAACACATTTGCTCACGTATCGTCAGCTGCGCAGGATGAGTTTAGAATTGTTTGCTAATGAATTATTACTTGAAATATTTGGATATCTTCCTAGTGTTCATGTACTTCAAGCATTCTACCGATTGAATACAAGGTTTGATCAGTTGATTCATGTGCATTTTCAAACGTCTCGTTTCGATTTTCGAGCAGCAACAATAAGAGATTTTTATAATGTTTGTCCAACTTATTTTCCCTACATCAAAGATCATCTCGTTTCATTGGGTTTATCGGACGATGACGAAACACCCAACCAAATCGAATTATTTCGATCCGATGGTTGGACTCTCGATCGATTTCCACATCTTCGTTCACTCTCATTCGATCACCTTCGTTCTAGTGAGATCATCGGTGACATTCTCGTAGAATGTCCTCAATTAGTTCGTCTCAGTTTAACTGGATGTTATTTTGCCTGCACGCAAAAGGAAATTCTACATTTCATGAATATAGTCTGGAGATTACCGAAACTGATTTAC